CAAAAAAAAAAAAGTCACATCACTATACATGTATTCCAGTTTGGCTAAAATGAGCAAAAAATTTTCCCTTCAATGTGTCATTTAATCAAACTGAATATATGATGAACATATGTAGTTTCTTGAAACCCAATTAAAAGCTTAACTGAAGGGAGAATATAATCTTTTTTGTTTAAAGAATTTTGCTCTTTGTAGGTAAGTCTTTTTCCTCCCAGCCTTATAGAGATGTAATTGGCATTTAACCTATGTAAATTTAAGGTGCACAAGATGATGATTTGATACAGGTGTATATCATGAAATGATCACCACAGTGAAGTTAGTTCTACCTCCATCAAATCACATCATTACGTGTGCAGTTCTTTTCCTTATTAGGAAAATCCAGAGCTTTAAGGATGAAGCTGTGTATCTTCACGGAGGGTTTTCAGAAGTGATGACTGATCTATTTCACCATCGTTTGTCAATACATGTTTTCAGATTTTAAGATTACTGAACTTCTTGTATTAGCTACTGTTGCAATATTTATTTGAATAAATAAATAAAGTATAAGAAAAGAAAATCAAGAGTCATCAGCTCTTTAGTCAGTAACTAAAAGAAGAAAGTCTCTATGGAACACATTCTTTCCTATTTCCATTGGACAACCTCAAAGCCCTTTCAAATAAATCCTCCCGAGCTCTCTTTTATGGGGAGAACAGTTAGTACAAATGCCTGGGGACCCAGGGAGCTGTCCTTGGAGGAAGGAGAAGTCGGAAGCTCAGAAACCACATTATGGGTTTGTTTTTTTAATCTCCGTTTTTATTCGTGTTTTAAAAACAGGGAAAACTGATGTTTATCAGGAAGTGACCTTTGGAGTACTGTTTTATAGGGCACAAGGGATTTAAAAAATTCTAATTTATTCCTTGGTTTAACCTGTTGCCTTTGAGATAACTTAAACTTGGGTAACTCAAGTTGAATTGTTCTTTAATTAGAGCTTAGAAAGTTACAGGCAAGGAAATCCAACAGCTACCTTCCAGTGATAAGCGTATGTGAGAAAACTTTATAAGATGTAGGGTGCTAGCATGGGGGTTATTTCTGTCATTTTATTATAAAAAGCAAAAAAAAACCCAAAACACAAGCTTTTCTTCTGCAGCCACAGCCAACTTCCGCTTACCAAACGTCCGAGGTTGTAGTAGCAATCCGGGTACTTCCGTCTGTGTTTGATCGCGGTCCGGTAGCTTTGCTCAGCGGCTTCGAACCGTTTCAGACTGTTCTGCACTATGCCCAAATTCATCCACGCGGCAGCAAAGTCTGGCCTGGAAGAGAATTTTTTATTTATTTATTTATTTATTTATTTATTTATTTAATTTTGGGACAGAGAGATTCAGCATGAACTGGTTTAGGGGCAGAGAGAGGGGAGCATTTCAGGCTCAGGCTCTGCTTCTCAGCCTGTGAGCCCCTGAATCCCAGAGATCGTGACCTCGGTTGAAGTCGATCTAACCGACTGTGCCACCCAGGCCCCCCGAGAATTTTTTTTTTAAAGATGAACAAGGAAAAGAAAGGCTAAGACCCCAGAATGCAGGCGCTCATCACTTTGCATAATTATATGCAACTTAATTATATGCAGCATAATTGTAGAAAACAATGCTTACTGTATTTGTACAGCCAAAGACAGCAGCTCTTCTGCTTCCTGTAGCTCATTCCTTTCTTTTAAGATATTTCCAAGATTGTTCATGGCATGAACGTACTTGGGATTTAATCTGGAAGCAGAGAGAGAAACCAAGCTGTCTGTTAAAGCTTGATAGTCTTCACTAAACTGTCAGGAATTGGCAAAGATATCTGAAAGTCGGGGGTCTTTGTAAATCCTAGACATGTATATAAATGAGACAAGCTTTCAGTACCTCACAGCTTCCCGGTAATATCTGATGGCAGCTGTCTGATTGCCTTTATCGGCCAGGTTTTTGCCAACATTGTAGTGAACCTGAAAATACAGATAAAAACTTGGCCAACAGCTGATAGACCTCTTTGTTCAGAGCACGGGTACCTATCACAGATTCGAACCAAAAACAAAAGGTAAAGGTACAAAAAAAAACCCATCCCATCAGAACTTTGGCTAAAATCTTACAAAGGGCAGGCGAGGGTCATGTTTTAATCCCCCACCCTGTAAGATAAAATTGAAAGGACAGGCTGGCAATGAGCAGATGATATCACTCAGGTACAACAGAAGGATATTTAACTAAGGAGAACTCAAAAATTACAAAGTGGGACTGGTTTTATTGCTAAACCCTCAGTTCCCCTCTTCTCATCCACACATCCCCTGTTGGGGCTGAGATGCAAAATCCAACCACATGTGGCTGTGAGAGGGAGAAACAAGGATTCTGTAATTTAAAAAAATGTTTTATGTTTATTTATTTTTGAGAGAGAGAGAACATGAGCAGGGGAGGGGCAGAGAGAGAGAGAGAGAGAGAGACAGACAGACAGACAGACAGGCGGAGACAGAGAATATGAAGCAGGCTCCAGGCTCCAAGCTGTTAGCAGAGAGCCCAATGTGGGGCTCGAACCCACATGCAAGATCATGACCTCAGCCAAAGTCGGACGCTCAACTGACTGGCTACCCAGGGCCCTGTATCTAAAAGAAATTCAGCCCTTTCTTGCAGGATACCTTCTACTGTAGTATTGCAAACATTCTAGTTCATACTAATGAAATTCTCCCTCTCTCATTCCTTCAGGTAATGACTGATGCTGACAGCCCAAGTGCTGCTGGCAGGTAGATACAGTCATGAGCAAACCTGTCAGACCTGAGTCCTGGAGCCCAGGCTGCGAGTCAAATGACCCTGTTGGAAAGTGTGTCACTAGAAGGCACCTGGGGCTGTGGAGGAAGGTGGGTCCCCAAGGTGGTGCCTGGTCTGGGCCTGGGGAGGGCTGTTCTGGGGAAAGGCTCTGCAGCAGAGATCTGAAGGGGGTTGCTAGGTAACGGGGCTCCCCTGGAGTAAGTGTGCCCGGCAGGGCAGGCAATAGCAGGCTCCAGTGCTGTGAGGAAGCCCAGTGTGTTTAGTTGAGCAACTACAAGAAGCCCAGTGTCGCTGGAGTGCAGAGGGCAAGGGAGACCAGGGAGGGCATGGGAGAGCAGGCTGCATAGGGAATCCCGAGCTGTGACAGGTCTGGTTTAGTCTCTGCCCAGAAGTAATAATAGGCCAGCACAAAGCTCATGTAAGTACATGAGCTTTCTAGGGCTGACAGAGTAAAACACCACAAACTAGGGGGGGCCCAAGACCGCAGAAGTTTATTCCCTCCTAGTTCTGGAGGCAAAGAGTAAGGGGCAGCAAGGTTGGTTTCCACTGGAGGTTCTGAGGGAGGAAGTCTTCCGTGCTTCTCTCCCGTCTTCTGACGGTTGCTGGCAAGGCCTTGGCGTTTCCTTGGCCTACAGCTGAGCGGTTCCAATCTCTGCCTCCGTCTTCACATGGACTTCTCCCTGTGTGTCTGTGTCTGTCTTTATAAGGACACCAGTCACACAGGATGAAGGGCCCACCCTTTACCACTTCATCTTTGTGACATCTGCAAAGCCACCAGTCACAGGTACCAAGGGGTAAGAATTTGAACATGTCTTTTGTGGGACACAATTCAACCCATAACAACAGCCAGGTGTATGAGGGTGGCAGAGGGTCACAATCAGGGCTATATTATAACAAATTAGTCACACTGTGGGAAACACATGAGCGGGGAAGAGACAGATGTCAGGGGTCCAGGGAGAGCCTGAGGTGACAGTCCCAGGGAAGGAGGGCAGCAGATTGTACTAGGGTGGTGTGGAAGAAGCACAGGAATTCGAGGAACACCATGGAAGCAAAAGGCACAGAAATTGCTGTTGGATTGATAAGAGTGAGGAAGCGTGTCAAGAATGAACTCGAGGTTTCTAACTTCCAGAACTGAATGGATGTGATGGTTTGCAGGGAGATACGACTGGTGACTAGGCTTGCTTGGGGGGATAGGAATCTAGCTGATTTTGAAGTCCTTGGAGAATCCAAGAAGAGAGACCAAGATGGCCACCTGAGCTCAGGAGAGGAGCAGGCCGGGGACACCAGTGTGGCAGGGAGACAGAGGCGGTACAGCCACGGGTCATGTGATCACATGGAGCAAGCCAGCCAGGGGAGGAAAAGATCCCATAAGACCTTCTTGTTTCCACCTCTCTAATCAAACTACAAGCTGGAGAAATCACCAGGGAATAATACAGCAACAGAAAGAGAATGAGGTGATGAAATATTCCACAACTAGAGACAGGTGCTGGTCCCACCACTCTGTGAATGCTCTAAATGTCACTGAATTGTGCACTTTAAAATGGTTAATTTAGAAGCACCTGGGTGGCTCAGTCGGTTAAGCGTCAGACTCTTGATTTTGGTTCAGGTCATGATCTCACGATTGTGAGATGAAGTTCCATGAGGATTCTCTCTCTCCCTTTGCCCCTCCCCCAACTCGTGCACTCTCTCTTTCTCTCTCTCTCTCTCTCTCTCTCTCTCTCTCTCAAAATACGTATATATTAAAAAATAAATAAAATGGGTAATTTAAAAAGGGATTTAATACTGATCATTTTATTCTGAAAAACACATGGGAGACTTTTCTTTAGTTTTTAATTGTAAATTAAACATAAAAGTTACCATCTTAACCATTAAAAATGTTTTTAATATTAGTATTGTTGACAATGTTTAATTACTTTTGAGCGATTAGCCATTTTCAAGTGTATAGTTCAGTAGGGTTGAGTATATTCACACTGTTGTGCAACCAACCTCCAGAACTCTCTTCATCTTGCATATCTGAAACTCTATACCCATTACACAGTAATTCTCCGTCTTTCCCTCCCCCCAGCCCCTAGCGGCCACCATCCTGTTTCTCTGAGTTTCTGTTTCTGTGAGTCTGACCATTCTAGATCCCTTACAGAAGTATAATTGTACAGTCTTTTCGTGACTGGCTAGTTTCACATAGATAATGCCCTCGAGGGTCATCCACATTGTAGCACGTGTCAGAATTTCCTTCCTTTTCAAGGCTGAGGAATATTCCACTGCATGCATACACTACACTTTGCTCATCTATTGGTCTATCGATGGACAGACACTTGGATTGCTTCCACCTTCTGGCTACTGTGAACAGTGTTTCTATGAACGGGCATGTTCACACGTGTCTTTGAGATCCCGCTTTCAATTCTTGTGGGCATCTACCCAGAAATGGATTTGCTGGATCATATGGTAATTATATTTTTAATGTTTTTTGTAAGAACTAAAGTGGTTAACTTTGTTATGAGAATTTTGTCTCACTGTAAAACAAGAGGGGTAGAGAGGCTCAGGAGAGCATCTGTAACGATCGAGGAGGGTGGTAAGGGAGACCAGAAGAAACTGGACTCATAGTTGAAGAGCTACCAGAAACTCTCAAGTCAGCTGAATTGAAGGCACAGGGCATTTTCTCAACTGTACACGGGATCAGGACAAGTTACAAGGAAAGGGGCCGGGACCCAAAATGGCAGCAGGGCAGCAGAATGGCAGACCCACGGGACTATTATCAGAAGTATTTACTGATGCTCCTTTTAGAGGCTTCCAATGTACAGGCCAAGAGCAATCTCAGAGGAGATGATGCCACAGAAGTTCGTTCAACAGCTCATGGTAACAGGGGTCCTGGCAGCCAGCACGTGCTGAAGGGTGCCATGAGCCCGTGCAGGGCTGGCACTGTGCACGCGTGTCTTCTCTGCACGCAGCCCTGCCAGGTTGAGGGGTTGCTACGGCATCATTAAGCATCTCACCCGAGGATGTGGTGCTAGATTTGAAGCCAGGCTCCGAAACCTGTGTTTTTCTCACCATATCACACCCATCCAAGAGGGTGCTGGGTGAGGACGGGGCCAACTGCTTGAGGTGATTTCTAGACCCACTCATTCATGCCATCTGTTCTTTTTCATAACGTAAATAATGTTTCTTGTTGCATGTTAACAGCTGAATTCTACCCCCCACCCCCAATTCATCTGTTGAAGTCCTGACCCCCAGGACCTCAGAATATGACTATACTTGGGGACAGGACCTTTAAAGAGGAAATTAAGTGAAAATGAGGCTGTTGGGGTGGGGCCTTAATCCCATCTGACTGGAGTCCTTGTAGGAGGAGGAAATTTGAAGACAGACAGAGACACTAAGGTTGTGCGTTCACAACAACTGTACGTGCACAGAGGAGAGACCATGTGAGGACACCATGATCTTGGACTTCTGGTCTCCAGAACCGCGAGAAAATAAACGTCTCTTGTTTAAGCCCCTGGTCTGTGGTGCTTTGTTATGGCGGCCCTAGTTAATATATCATGAAACACAATAATGGTTTGAACACATTTCAAGTAGCATTACATTGGAACACTTCAAAAACCCTTTGGAAAATATAACCATATCCTGTCTTATCAATCTTAATCTACAGTTACAGCATGTCTTCAAAAATACTAATATTTCTGGAAGGGTATGGAACAGTGTGACATTCTTTGAGCACGTATGTATCAGAGATTTGTTTTTTAACTGCCAATTTTTAAGTCTATACGTTTATTTTTATCCTGTCTGACAAAAGGAATCGCAAGCAGAGAAATCACAGGTGACAGAAATATGTATTATTGTGCAGCACACGGTATAATTTAGACTTCCTGAGCCATACTATTGTCCATTCATTGGTATTAACATCTTCAAATTACAGCTAATGCGACGGCAGTAGCATGTGCTTTATAAAGTGTGCTCTAAATGGTTTCATTTTGTGCCTCTCCCAGCCCCAGCTTGGACGTGCTTACCTCTCCTCCCGTCCCCGCACAAAAGAATCGTATCATGAACCCACCAGTGAGCAATGTGCTTGTGGTCCCCAGAATACAAATTCAGCTTCTACTCAGACTTCAGCACAACTCCTGCCTCTTCCGCCCCTAAGCTCCTGCCGCTTTCCTTTGTTCTGGGCAAATTCTGTTTTCTCAATAAGAAGCTCAGACAAAGAGTTCAACTGCCCTCTGCAGTATACATGGGGTTCTGTTAGACACCCAGAATGCCAGGGAGAGCCACCCAGATCAGGGGAGAGAGAAAAGGAGTGCTCCAGAAATGCAGACTGCAGTTATCCCATGGAATTGGTTAAAAGTCTGATCCAGCCCAAGAAGGCAAGCTTTCCATAATTAAGAACTGATATGAACAGTCTCATCGGCCCAGCCTCATCCTATGGGTTGGTTATATGGAGGGAAGTATCTGAAGACAAAACAGGTCTCCAGATAACCCACTGGAAAACAAAAAAAAAAACCCCGTAGAAGCCCTCCTAAACAGTGCACTTGAAACAGTGTTTAAAGAATGTTATTTTTGTTTCCACACAATGTAAGAGACTGGAAAAGCCTGTTTGTTCTCGAACTTTCCCTCTAGCTTTTATGATTCATAGATGGAGGCAAAAAGCCAGCAAAGAGAGGCACCTGGGTGGCTCAGTCAGTTAAGCGTCCGACTTTGACTCATGTCATGATCTCACAGTCTGTGAGTTCGAGCCCAGTGGGGCTCTGTGCCGACAGCTCGGAGCCTGAAGCCTGCTTCGGATTCTGTGTCTCCCTCTCTCTCTGCCTCTCCCCCACTTGCACTCTGCCTCTCTCTCTCAAAAATGAAATAAAAACATAAAAAAAAAAGACAGAAAAGAAACCACAGATGAAGATGTCCACTGTAGCCCCATGACCTGTAAATCAACAATGGAAGGGACTTTCCAGGGCTGAAACCAGTTTGTTTCAAGTTTTCTGCTAACATTCGATGCCAAAATGTTTTAAACACATAAAAATCCTATAGCCCATCCTGGCTCATCCTTAAGGAAATACCGCATTATGGCAGATGATCCTTTTCATGGTTAAAAAAGTTTAGAATTGTATCTCAGAGTTGATACAAAGTGGCACATCCTTTTAAGCCTTAACAACTAAAATGACTGTAAATATAATTAAATACTTGGTATCTCATCCATTGTAGGGTAAAGAAATCTGATTTCCACAAGGCTCAATTCAACCACTAATTTTGAGTGCCTACCATATGCAAGGCAATGTGGATAATTCAACTGCAGACCGGGCATTGGCACTGCCTATGTGGATACTGCCATCTTTTGAAAAAGATTGAGTCTCAGTTTGTAATCCTGGGCCTAATCCAGAGCCAGATGCCAAATACTTACTTCGTATACAGTGAATATAAAGTGGAAACCAATACAGAAAATGTATTTCCTGCAACAGAGTTGAAGGAAACTGGTACTTTCTTAAATGAGGTCTCTTCCCTGAAATCAGCCTAGCTTTTTTCAAAGAAAAAAAAAAAAAAAAAAAAAAAAGGAAGTAAAGATGATTTTTCTACACTGCAATTTAGAGCGGAAAGTAAAACAAACAAACGGACGAAAAAACAAAAATAAAACCCCAAACCTCCATCTTGCTCAGACTGAATGGTAATCCTGAAAAATGTTCTTAGAAAGGATGATCACCATCGGGTCCATTTTGAAGATGAGGTCGTATATGTATGTCTTAAATTTAAAAAAGAAAACTACATATGTGTGGTGTGTGCACATCTCGTACTTTCTTTCCTATAGCATATGAGATCACATCCTAGGGCAGAAGGTATAGGCGTGAACATCACCTAGGTTGTCCCTCCCCCTGATTTACTGGCATAACCTGGGTGGCACATCATACCAGGTCTCTATCTACCCCCTAAATTACTAATCTAGATAACATCAGTTCCATCCTTCTATGCCTCAGTTTCTTCCATTTGGAAAAATAAAGAAAATAAAACCTTTCTCTCTAAAAACCTTAGAGGGAGGATAATGGAGATTAATTATAGAGCCTCTACAAAGAAATCTGAGCTCCTTGTGGGGAAGAACTTTATAAATAGAAGCTATAATTACTGCTATTCAAACAGAAAAGCAAAAATAAAGCAGATCTATTAACATTTATGAAATTAAATCACAGGCAATTTATTTTTAGTAGCATGAAATAAATGGATAGGTCAGCAAATCAAATTAAGGATAAAAGCTTGAAGGAATGCATTCTTTTATCTAAGTCTCTTAACTATAAAAAATGAACAAGATTTCTTTTTTTAATCCAAGAAAAAGACAAAGAGTTAGCACCTTTTACATTATTCCTCACTTCAGGATCACAATAGGATGTCAACCGTTCATGAGATTTATTCATACAATTTTGCCTGAAATCACTGATTTCTCTCTTTTTAATTTTTTTAATGTTCATTTATTTTTGAGAGAGAGAAAGAGAGGGAGGGAGAGAGAGAGAGCAGAAGCAGGGAAGGGGCACAGAGAGAGGGAGACACAGAATCTGAAGCAGGCTCCAGGCTCCCAGCTGTCAGAACAGAGCCTGATGTGGGGCTTGAACTCACGAACAGCAAGATCATGACCTGAGCTGAAGTCAGACGCTTAACTGACTGAGCCACCCAGGTGCCCCTGCTTTCTCTTAAATATAGACTATGGAAATGAGACAGAACTCCAGACAGCTCTTTTTCTCCCCCTACAGGATCACAGTTAAGCATGCTAGGAACTCATGTTCTGATGACCCGAGGCAGAATGTATCATTATTTATGAATACTCTATACCAAAAGAAGATTCTTCTAACCTAACCCCTTGGCCTCCCATTTTGACCAAGTAGCATTTTCTCATTTAAGGAGACAACCAAAACTAAAACGAGCCTCAAAAAGCTAACCTTTCTTGAGCACCCACCATGTTCTAACTACCATGTTAGAGCTCTTCAGATGCCATATTTCATTTAGGCCTCACAACAAATCCAGGAGACAGTCATGATCTCCCCTTGATGGAAAAGGGCATTGAGAATTCAAAGCAGTTTCGTTTTGCCCAAAAAGGCACAGCTGGTTAAATGAAGAGACTGGATTCATCAAGAATACAAGTGAAACACATTCCTACCAAACAGCTTCAACAAAAACACTGCCAATTTTCAAGCCTACACATTTATTTTTACCTAATCTGACAAAAGGAATCACAAGCAGAGAAGCCACAGGCAACAGAAATGTGTAATACTGCACATCAGACGGTATAATTTAAACTTCCTGAACCAAAGTGCTGCCTGTTCACTGGTGTAGTCATCTTCAAGCTACAGACCGGAGGAAGACTTGAGGCGGTGGCCCGGGCACGTGTTCTGAGGTTCAAACTCTGCCCCTCCCCCAACCACAGTCTGGATGTGTGCGGCCACCTCACTGCTACCATTTCAGTGGGTGACTGGACCAACTGGAAGATGGGCAAAACGTCATTTAAGTAACCTGCAGTTTCACTGACGCTGTCTGGTTTTAATGAGTTATTTTGAATTATTTTGGCCAACTGGAAGTGTAATGAATTTATCAAAATCATTAACAAAACCAAAGAAAAACCCGAGTATTTGGTCATGGTCTTATGCTAGCTTCTGCGTGAAGGTAAAGGGACCTTCTTCTTATTCAGCTGTTCAACTTAAAGTATATGCTAGGAAGGTCTTTCTCAGGAAACATGGCAGTCAACATACCTTGGCGTTGAGAGGACACACAGACAGGGCGCTTCTAAAAAGCTGTTCTTCGTTTCGCCACTCGCCACTGCGAATCATGCACCTCAGCATGTTTATGAACAGAATTCCCAGTACGACAGTAGCAATCAATTTCTTAGGAACAGAGAGATACCATAAATGTCATTAGGAAGGTCTAGCCAGTCGTCTTGGGTATGAATGGCACACCACCCTGGGCCAATACCTTTTTCTTAGTGTGTTTACTGAGCGCTCCGAATCCGAAAGTCAGCAGCATGCAGTACCCAGCACTGGGGAGGTACAGGACTCTTTCTGCAACCACAAAGCCCACTCGGAAGAACAAGTTACTTGCAGGGAGAAATGGGATAATGAGAAATCCTAGGCCCAGCGTAAGGATCCTGGAAAGTGAGAAGTAATTAAAATAGCTATTTTCAGACTTCTCAAAAAAAAAAAATCCTTCTCAACATTAAATTAGTGATAAAGGCTGTGTTTTTTTTTTTTTTTTTAAGTCATCAATTGGGAAAAGGTACCAGCAGTAGCAGAGAAATGTCATCAGTAAAGAGGATTTAGCCTGGCAGTATTAGGATAAGTCATAAAATCTCACTAATGCACTTAGTTTAGCATCAAGCATATGGACAAGACTTGTAAGGTGCTCAATCCATACAAGTAAGGTTAGAATGATCACACTTTGTGAGCCCTTATTAATTCACTTACTCCTAACCCCCCTCAAACCATGTAGGCATTGAATAGACCAGTAGGTATTTTGGTCCCAATTAGTCCACTATAGTTTTCAACCTTAACAGGAATAATAATACTTTACTAGTTTAAGCTTTATAAAATCTGAAATAAACAAAATTGCAATCATTTTTGGGTGCTATGTCACCACATATTTCACTCAAGCAAAAAGAAAGCTGAGCAACAAAGAGCTTCCGGAACTAGGCAACATTTCCGATGTCCCATATGATGCAAGAGGATAAATTAAGAAGCTAGGTCAAATTTGGTGGCTCCTTCCTGGACCCTGTGCCTTCAGTACTTAAAAAAACAAAACAAAACAAAACAAGGCAAAATCATTATTGCATGTGTATAGGTGAACTGGGGCTAAAGTTAGTAGAATTATGAACCAATTTAACAGGTAAACTTAAAACTTATTTTGGGGGTGCCTGGGTGGCTCGGGAGGTTGAGCGACCAACTCCTGATTTCGGCTTAGGTCACGCATGATATCATGGTTTGTGAGATTGAGCCTCGCATCAGGCTCTGCACTGACAGTGCAGAGCCTGCTTGGAATTCTCATTTCTTTCTTTCTCTCTCTCTCTCTCTCCCTCTCCCCTGCTCGTGCTCTCTCTCTCAAAATAAATAAATAAGCTTTAAAAACAAAACTTATTCTAAGAAATTACTAATCTAATTCCCTAAACACATATGCTTAAAGGGAATCAACTACCTTAAATAGTCTTCTTTCTCAGGAAACACATTTGTTTCCCCCACCTCCACTATTTTCTCAATAACCTTTTATTCTCATTCTCTCTCTCTCTCTCTCTCTCTCTCTCTCTCTCTCTGTGAGAAAGAATAGTCTCTTTGGAGCAGTGGTTTATTTTCTACTAAACAACAACAGAAGGAATCACTAGAACATCCACCAGAGTTTTTTGAAGGAGAATTGTGAAATGATGGGCACAGCACACATCAATTACACTCTCTGTTCTGACCATAAATTACTCTTTACCACCTACAGAGAAAAGGATCTCAAGATACTACTTCAAGGGAAAGGTGGGAGGGGGAGAGAGAGCAGTCATCCGTTCCCCTCCTCCAAGTTCACTCCCCACTGGTTGAAGCCAGCAATGGATTCCAAATGGATGGAACTCATCCTAGGCATAAATGCGTTTTGGAAATAAATGTCCTTAGATGTTACTTCCACAAAATTGTTAAAATGATCAGTGCAAAATGGATTTAGCAAAATGCTCTGATCCAGCCCAGTGTGGAAGTTAAAATTCAGTGCTGCCTCTTACCTTCTTTTGTGGCTGTCTTCAGAGCACAGGGCTTGGCATATTAGGCCAATTAGACAGAACCACAGTGCTGCCAGTGCAATTACTCTCCAGTCACCGGCTGACTTAATGAGGGGGATGCAGCCCATTGACCAATCAAAACACAGCCACCAGGGGCACAGCAGCAGCCAGGCATTCAATGAATAGTAGTAATTATAGTTTATGGCCTGTCAGTCAAAAGGAAAACAAACACTCATTTGATACAGAACTTCTACATATATACATATATGTATATATAACACCCATATATATGTATATGGGTGTGTATATATACACATACCTTGTAACTTCACTTTTGAGGCATCCATAGGCTTCTGTTCAAGGACAGCAGTTGTATAAAATAAAATGTCAATTTCTACATTGGACGTGGGACTGTAGTTTGCAATCTATTAAATGTGTTCAGACTGTAATAGAGAAAAATACAGCAAAGCCACCAGACTCTGCTATACATACATCTGTTATATTTCTGGTCAAAATGTGTCCCATTTACTTAGTGATGCCCAAAGTCTGTGACCCAGGAAATCTGAGGCCCAGATGTGTCTGGGCCTATGTGTGTCTGACAATTTAAGAAGAGGGTTTTTCCTTCTTTTGATTTCTATCTCTATGAAATGCACCACTAAGAATTTGTGGCTTGACACCTTGCCTTCAGAAAAAGCAAACCTTTACAAGAAATAGTGTCTGGATACTGTCAGACGTTTAAAGATATATTACCGATGCAGTTAGATTTTGTGTTAATCCCACTACATAAATTTCCTTTACCAAAACAGTAATGGGGTCAGGGGACACTTTAGTGAGGCTGGCAGGAAAGCTGATATTTGAAAGAACCATTTCTCTTTAGTTTTGATTAGAATGGAAATACAAGGGACTCACACCCTCTCGATCGATCCCTTAATCAAAATCTGGTTTCATCCGAGAATATCCTTAGATATTAGAGAGCAAACAAATGTGGAGGTGTTCCACTGATTAGGGATTTTGTGGGCGTGTTGGGAAGTCAGAAGAGGGGGACAAAGGTTCTGAAAGCTAGTGGGCAGAGAAGACAGAAGTGGAGGACAGGCTCAGCACTCACCCTGACCAGCATGCTGTCGGCGAAGGAGGCGGGATTGTCCACCTCGGTGAATGCCGGGGGGCCGGTGCCCATGATTTTCCAGCGCATGTAGAGCACCCCTGCTCCCCCCGAGGCCAGAAGGGTCATCCTGAAGAGGAGGCCCCCATTCCTGAGCGTGCCAAGGTTCTGAAAGGTCAACGCAAAGCCCCTGATGTCGTGGGTTTTCAAATAAAAGTGCAGCCGAGCTCAGTGCACGTGTGCAGCACTTCTGCCCGAACTGCTCTGCTGCCGTGCTGAAAAGGGCTAGCTATTTTGAAATTCAAAACGGCGAGAAATATTTTGAAAATGGCGTTTTAAATCAGCTGGTACTTGACATTTTCCATGTCTGGGCTGGAGACAAAAAGCATATACTCACCTCTAATGATTTGTCTTTATGTAGTACCTTCTGGACCATTTCCAGAACATTTAATTTGCCTATCACCAAGATGTCAAAGACTGCATTCAAACCCTGAGGAAGCAAAGCAAGGCAATCAGTGAGGGAGAGCCTGGCTCTGATTAGGTGGCAATTACACTTCACAATTTTATTACTGAATCTCGACAAGAATTGCAGTGGCTAAGATAATCACAGGAGACGTCTCCAGCTGTAAAACAGACACCCCACTATTGTTCTTATGAAATCGGCTCATGGTGATGTATCAGATTTCCTGCCTAGTAGATCCCTGTTGGTCATAATTTCATAGTCTGCACAGAAGAGTAGTCTAAGGATTCAGGATAGCTGGAAATTTGGGGTTCCCAGGAGAAGTTTTCCAGAGGTCCCTCTTGCCTATTTTTTTTTCTTTTACTATAAAATAGTCTCTTAGTGGCTTAACAGAGGGGTTACCTGCACAGTAATTATGCCTCAGAAGATAAAGGCAGCCGTCAACCTCGAAAACCGAGCCATGTAAGTAATTAGTCACACCTCAAGAACGCCAAGCGCTGACTGATTTCAGCACGTGTAGTAGTAGCAGGGGCACAACATAAGAAATCATCTCTGATGGGGCTCTGGATCTCTCAGGTGCAGACTCCTGGCTGTCCGCTGGTTTTCAGGTCTTGCTGGGCACACAGCCCAGCAGCACTTCCCAGCCAGCCCTGCAGCTACGTGTGGTCATGTGACTTGAGTTTCAGCCTCCAGAACGTGGCTCAAAGCGCTTATGCATTATTTTGGAGGTTTGCTTATAACCTGGGCACACTCCGTCACTTGGTTTCCCCTTCTGGCTGGCTGTGATGGACACCATCAGGGCAATGGTGGAAACTACACACTCCAGAGGGCAGAACCTGCACCAGCTAGCATCCACTGTGTGGACAACAGCCACCTCCACCCACAGCTGCGAGGTGAACAACAAATAACTTCCATTATGTGAAGCCAGTGTCTGGGATGTGATGCAGCTCCACTTCCGCTGGTAGCTTCCAGTAGACCCAAAATAGTTTCTTTCCAGAAGGCGAGGGCTGCTTTTGCCAGGCTAGATGGGCCTTGGATTCCCTTCTCTTCCCTGCAATGGACTTTCTGTAGACGTCACCGCTGTAGGCAAGGTCAACTTGTGGAACTCCCTGACCAATCTAAAGTGGTCACAGTGCATATGGCATCTGTGGTTAAAGCTCCCCCTAAATGACTGGTCTTTTTGATGTGGGGCTTTGCGGTGAAGAAAATCATAAATCATCAGAAGCCAGTGGTAATTTGTGACTTTTAGAGCAAGGATCCCTACTTAACCCTCTCCCATAAATGCTGGAAGCCATTAATTATCTAATACACAGGCCAGCACTGGGTTAATCATTTCAAAGAATTTTGATTTTATTCACTCATGCGATACAGGATTTTAGTGGGTCACAGAAGACCATTTCTCCCCGGGTGTAAACCATCTTCTAGAAGGCAGAAGCTTCCTGTTGAGCTGCCACTGTCTTATACCATTTGTTTTTCTCCCTATGAGTCACCAAGGGGTGAGGGGATCACATCATTACAAGGACTGAGCCAAAAAGAATTTTGGCACTCTCCACCTGCCCATTTAAATACATCATCAAAACGTCCACATTCTAATCAAATGTTTGAAAACAGCTAAATTTTAGCATATCTTTAGTATCTTTAGTCACATAAATTCAACCTTTAGTGTTTTTCAAACATTAATGGGAGCCACCTTGGACCTTGTTACATGGAGATTCTGATTCAGCAGGCCTGGGGTAGGGTTAGAGATCCTAAATTTCTAATAAGCTCCCAGATGGTATTGATACTACTGGTCTTTGCGAAGCAAAGGTTTAGAGCAGTGGATGATTCTGCCACCCGGGGGATGCTTGACAATGTCTAGAGACATTTTAAGTTGTCACAGTCAAGGCAGTCCTACTGGAATTTAGGGGTAGAGGCCAGGGATGTTGCTACACCTGCCACGGTGCACAAGACAACCCTCCCAGAAAAAAGAATGACCTAGCCCAAAACATCAATAATGCTGAGATTGAAAAACATTGGCTTGGAACAAACTTAAAAAATATAATAACCCGTGAAGTTCAAGTATCTTTGCGCAGTAATTCTTTCTGCGCCATTTCTTAGCTAGCTAACCTTCATCTTCTACACTGAGCCTCATAAACTCTTTCATCTTTGCTTTGACTTACATCAAATCCCATATAGATTTATCTGCTCTTTCTTTCCCAGGTTATTCCTATCTGGGCCATGCAAATCCCATATCTTTGTTTCCGTTTCTCTACCCCTGATCATAGCCCTAATTTCTAAGTTTTCCTCTAATAACGTCAAGCATAAAACTGGCTACGATGGAAGAAAAGGAAAGTGAATTTCAATGCCTCTCCCTTCCTGGGGCTTCGATTCTGATCAGACATAGAAGGTGGAGGCCTCTACTCTTCAGGACCCCTCCTTTCCTCTTTGATATTTCCAGTCAAGGCCAAGCACAACATACACTCAATACTTCTTTAATCAGGACCAGAAGCATTGATGGCGTCAGCCCACTGCTGTATCTCGAAGTGCGGCAATAGGACAGCACCCCGGAAAACTGAAACTGTTCTTTTCTCTTTTTCTATGGCACCCCTCCATGAGAGAGTTAATCACTGTCTGTAAGAACTTCCCACTTTCTGTTTCCCACCGGTTGCTAATGATAGTCAACTGAGACAGTCCATTTCCATGAAACACTACATGTACTAAAAGCACAAGTAACTGATAGAAGGGTCCCTGACTGGCTGGTAATGGGGTTGAGAAGTGGAGGAAGTCACAGAGGCAGGGCTAGCCCGAGATGTCTCTACTGTGGCAGAGGGAGGGGCAGGCCCTGACTGCATCTCAGGTCTTACCAGCACAGTGATCCCTTGCTCTTTACACAGCATGGCCACCGCTCCCAGGAGGATACTCAGCAACACCCAGAACGTAGAATGTGTTCCCTCCTTGTTACCTGCTGATAGAGAAATGACAGACATAAACATCATGCAACACAGCTTAGCCCTGGTAGCACCAGGGACTAAAATCCTAAGCATGTGCTCTAAATAGCCACGATTTAAAAAGAGTTTGGTCTTCTGATAGCATTTCTCTGTGGGCAAGTGTATTACACTCTGCATTTCTGGTTAAACAGCACCGTCTAAATGATATACATACCCAGTCTCAAGGCACATCCTAGCAGGTACCCACAGCCTGTTGGAGGCACTGCAATGAAGGCCTGGCCACCAAGATATCTCATTGCAGACTCCCTATGGGGCAAGTTCCTACTTCCTGACCTGCCAGCCACCTAACAGGCCACTCTGACAGGCTGTGTTGAGAAGTCCCACTGAGAGTGTAAGCACTGCATCTGATTATAGGATGGCCCCAGCAGTGACTGCTGCTATCACCACAGTGGTGATGGCAATGCCTGAGCTGCCCTGAGAAAGCCTACAACTGTAGGCACAGAAGTCCAGGTAAAGGCCCAGGCCAGGCTGGGCTGGGCTGCCAACCTGCATGGGGCTTCAAGCCAGAACATCTTTAGAAATGGGAACTCTGTAGTAAGAAGCCTGGGGTGGGACTGACCTTGAGTTAAAACTGATGGTCCCTGAACTGCCTCCAGCCAAGGGAAGGTCTGGCTTTATTCTATTTGGTGGGTGATATCTGCAATTTGGGGCCAGGGCTGAACTGCTGGAGAGGAGAGGCCACATGTCCTTTGTAAGGCCCTCACCCCCTCATCTACATAGATGGTACACATTTAAAAAAGACATAGGTTTGAAGTAGGGCAAAGCAAACCTGCTTGGAGGGCCAAACCATTAGCTTGCCTGGGGTTCCTACGAATCTTGGTTCAGTTCTGATCAAAACCAGAACTCTTGGTCCAAAATCCGGCTCTGCCATTTACTATGTGACCTTGAGCAAATTACTTCCACTCACAGTCTCAACGACTTCATCTATAAAATGGGAGCAACGTTATCTACCTACTGATATATTTGAAAAACTATACAGAAATGCCTGGCCATTTGTGTTAAAAATTATAGAAACATGGTTGTAAATGCAAAACATATCTGTAAAACACACAAGAAACCAACCACAGTTGTTTCTGAACAGTTCTAAGAAGAAAATTTGGGCAGCAGAGGGATAAAGTCTATGCTTTCCCACTGTACAGGCCTTCACATATCCTTAATTTTTTTTTTTAACTATGTGCATGTTTGACAGCCTCGTTAGCTTCCACCCATTAGATGCCAGCAGCCCTCCCAGCCCTCAGTTGTGACAACCAAGAATGCCACAGGCTTTGTCAAACACCCCTGGGAAGAGTGGGGCAGAAATCACCCACACTTGGGACCAGTGCCCTGAACCAGGGTAATGACAGTGTGTGGTCCGTGCACCTGCCCTTGGATCCTGTTAGAAATTCAGAGTCTCAGGCCCCACCCAGAGCTGTGCAATCAGAAACCTGATGGTGGAGCCCAGCAACTGCCCTTTTAACCAGCCTTCCAGGTGATTCTAATTTTTTTTTAATGTTTGTTTATTTTTGATAGAGCGAGGGAGAGCACCAGCGGGGAAGGGCAGAGAGAGGGAGCCACAGAATCCGAAGCAGGCTCCAGGCTCTGAGCTGTCAGCAAAGAGCCCGACATGTGGTTGGAACCTATGAATTGTGAGATCATGATCTGAGCTGAAGCTGGATGCTTAACTGACTGAGCCACCCAGGTGTCCCTCGGTCAACTCCTTTTAAATTATGATTTTAGGAAAGGCCTCACAAGTGTCAGCAGCTCAGCCCAGGGGTTCAGCTGGCAGAATGGAGGTGGTCACAGCTCACAAGGTACTGTAACCTTTTGCCATATGATGGAGATGGATGGCAGATAACACCCTTAAGGCTTGTCCTCTCCATGCTGTGGACATCTGGTCCACTGAGCTTTTCTCCCATAACACATCCTCCTGAGTCTGCATCAAACCACTCTCAGGATTTTCTCATATTAGCAGTTGGTAGGTAATTAAATGTCTTTAATTATAAGAACTCATGTATTACCATGGGGTCTTCTCCACAGATAAAAGGGTAAATGACCCCCAGCCAGGCTCCTGTGCCCCTCAGGGCTCACAATGGGATGGGCACTACGGCAGCTCGGGAGATGTGCTGGGGTCCCTCGTCTCAGCATGCTGCTTCCACGTCCACTAAGCATTAGATTTGATGGTTCACTAGAAACCAAATGGACCTCTCCCCCACCGCCTGGACTGGCTTTTTCTAAGCTTCCTCATTCCCACAATCTGTATTTGTAACTTTTCTTTTTAAGTTCATTTATTTTGAGAGAGAGAAAGAGTGAGAGAGAGAGAGTGTGTGGGAGCAGGGGAGGACCAGAGAGAGAGAGAGAAAGGGAGAGAGAGAATCCCAAGCAGGCTCCATGCTGTCAGCACAGAGCCCAACGTGGGGCTTGATCTCCCGAGCTATGAGATCATGACCTGAGCCGAAATCAAGAGTCCGATGGTTAACGACTGAGCCACCCAGGTGCCCCTATGCTTGTAACTCTTTTTGTGTGTGTGTGTGTGTGTGTGTGTGTGTGTGTGTGTGTGTGTGTGTG